ACACACTCTTTGAAGCTAGCAGCCACACTCTTGGGACTCCTCCTGCAGAATGGAAGCACCACTGCAGACGGACATGAGGAAAGTGTGCTGAGTGTTGTGAGGTCAGGGCTGGAGGGGCCTGAGGCTGGGGGTGGCCAGAATGTCCCTGGCTAGGGGAGAGGTTGACTGAACGGTGGTGTCAGAGCTTTTTAAGTGACTGTTAGATCTGTGGGCATATTATAGAATGCTGTGCTTTTTCTTGTGCTTCTCCCCCCTCCATGCTTTATGACGCAAGAAGAGAAAGTTACATACGTAATTGTAGGTGTGTGTAGAAATAATGCACATGGACGTTTCTAGCAAACATAAAGGTACATTTTAAGGTATTTATATGACTGTTTCCTTACCAGACTGGATCTGAAGCAGGGGGCTCCTCCGTCTCTGCACCTCACCCCCAGGCGTGCTTCATAAGGGCTTGCTGAGGGGCACACGCAGGCGGACAGAGGGACAGAGCCTCTCTCCTTCCTGTGTTTGTGGGCAGACGTTTCATCTATGCCATGCCCTTTTCTATTCCTATTCTCTTTAATGTATTCCAACATTTTTGGAGGGGTTCTGAAGGGAAAAAGTTGTGTCGCATTTACATTATGGATTTTGAGAAGCTGTATGATACTTCCCAGATATCTAAGGTGATAGAAGTGAAGAGTTGAAGTGATTTACTTAAAAACTGTGAATTCGCATTATATTTACTGATGTTTTCACTAGGTGGATGCTCAGGTCAGAGAAACTCTAAAGCTCATGTTTTCTGGTGACCAGCAAGATCGTTCTCTCGAATGGCTGCTGCAGAAATTGTCTTCTCACTTTGTGAGCAAGGATGACTTACAGGTTTTATTACGAGATTTAGAGCTGCAGATACTGAAGAACATCACCCACCATATTTCTGTGACAAAACAGATGCCAACTTCTGAAACTGTAGTATCTACCGTGAATGAGGCAGGGGTTTCAGGAATAACAGAAGCGGTAAGTTGATAATGAGAAATATTTAAAAGTCATGTTGTGATGAAACTGATGATCTAGTTGTTAGGCTAGCCGATTCTGATGTCTTGTTCTAAGAATGGTCTCAGGGATGTGGTTATGACATAGAATGCTTAGTGCAGCGCGGTGTGGAGAAGTCATTGCTCAGTAACTTTTAGCTACTGCTGTTGTGATGAAGCTACTTCTTGGGGGTACTTTATCCTTCATTAGTCTTTTTGTCCCAAAGATCCTCTCTACCTGGGTGGCTGCATACCTTCTGAAATGACACAAACATTCCCTGGTAATGCAGTACCCAGCTACAGCTCCTAACTCCAGTCCCCGTGTCATCCACATTTTGTGGCTGCCAGGGGGTTTCTGGTTCAGAGCAGATTGTGACTATCTGAGCCCTGGGAGGAAGGCTGACACTCTCCACCTCTACCTGGTGGCCCAGCAGGCGGGTGCAGGCCTGAACTTGGAGGTGCTGAAGCACCCCCATGCCTGTTATCCCCAAATATCGTTCACTGAAAACATGTGCTGAATAGAAATGTGGCCTTTGGGCCGGCCCCGTGGCTTGGTGGTTAAGTGAGCGCGCTCCACTGCTGGCGACCCGGGTTCGGATCCCGGGCTCGCACCGACGCGCTGCTTCTCTGGCCATGCTGAGGCCGCGTCCCACATACAGCAACTAGAAGGATGT